GAGCAGCAGCATTAACAACAGTGCTCTGAACAAAATAAACAAACTTATAGGGAAGGCTGGCTCTGTTGTTGGAGTCAAGCTGGACTCTCTGGAGGTTGTGGCAGAACAGAGGACGCTCAACAAGCTGTTAGCCATATTGGACACCTCACACCCCCTGCATGCTACACTGGATAAACAGAGAAGCTCATTCAGGTCAGACTGTTACAGCTGCGCTGTGTTAAAGAGCCGTGTGAGATCTTTCTTACCCACTGATATACGGCTCTACAGCGAGTCTCCTTACTACTGCAGAGATGGTACTGATCTCCTGCTGTCTGAACTGAGCTGAACCTCATCACTGTATCTCCTCTCCTGTTAATACAAACTGTGCAGTATATCATAACCGCTACTGTAATGACTCTCACTGAGCACTTTACACTGTAATATTGATACAACTCCTAGTAATGTCTGTACTTTATATGTCTGTACTTTATATATAGATATACTTTTATTTTATTTCTCTTATATTTTAACCTATGTCTATTTTTATTTTCTGCATATCCATATCAATAAAGTTCTGTCTGTCTGTCTGTCTGATCTATCTATCTATCTAATAAGAGAGTATAATTAGTCTTGTATTAATTATTGAAGTTAGTGAAGCACAGTATGTAAGTCATATTCATGATTAATTTTTTTGATAGGCCTTGAGAAAATTTCCTTAAGTATTTTGATATATTTTTCCCCATATCACCCACTTCTGGTTGCAAGTCAGGCCCACGAGGTACTTTACATCTAATTAACAGCCTATGTTAATATATTCAAATAAAACACTGACTTTGCCAGAGTAACTGCAGGCATCATTAACTCAAATACTTTTAAGACAAAATCTTTAAAAATCAATTAAAATGGCAGAAAAACTGATATAATATAAGCTAACAGAACTGTATCATTATCACATTTCATCATTAGTGTTTATGACTCGTACTGTAGGACAGGTGCTGATAACACAGGCAGATTTTCCTGACACTCATCTAATGAAGGTGCACATGTGGAGCAAATTAACATGATTCAGTTCGAGCCTAATTCGGCTCCTAACAAATGCACCCCAAAGTAACAGCAACTGGAGGAGGAGGGAAGAGGAGCATGTCAGGAGTGATTCACTAACTAGGGAGGTGAGCGCTGCAGACGAGCCTCAGGCAACCACTTGGCATTCCTGCTCGGGGCACTTTCCCCTCCAACGTCCAAACATGTGGCTCCCTTGTCATAACAGTTGCCTCTAGTTCGGGTAACCGGCACCACGGCACAGGCAGGAGCCTGATAAGCTGGTCCTGCATGCAGTGGTGATAGAAGGCAGGTGTGTGGATGTTTGTTTTCTGTACAGTACACAGATGCAGTGAGTCAAAAAGACCAAATGAGTCAGGATGCGCGATATATCGGTAATATTATTCACGGATAAATGGGAAAACATTGGGCCTCATTCACCAAGCGTTCTTCAGAAGAAAATTCTTCCTAAAACCCATTTATGCAGTTTTGACCAAGACTCTGACTTTCACCAGTGTTCTCTCATGTGGGATTTGTTCTGAGGTAAGAACAGAATCTACACACCCAAGAGCACAAAGGTGAGAACAGTTCTGCGCTTTAAGGACACGTCATGAATCTGACGAAGAAATCTTCGCAGGACCTTTCTCAAGAACACACTTAAGAACAAACTTAGGAAGATATTGGAGAATGAGGCCCATTATTATTACCAGGGTTTCCCAGGTTAAAATTTGGAGGTGCGCCAAGGTTTGTGGACACTTCAACACGTAACTAGAAAGCTGGCTGTATTTCACCACAAAGAAAAACAAGCATCTCCAAAATGCTAGGTTTACAGCAGAGGGCAAAACACTCTTAACTTTTACTCTAAGTTATTGTAAATAGATTTCATCCCAAGCAGTTCTGGAGCATTTCTATTGGTCCGTTCATCATGAAATTTTCACACAGTGTAAAGGACAGCTGCCGTGTTTGAACGATGTAGAAAACTGAAAAAATGGAGATGTTTAGCTGCAGTGACACTCATGATCCATCTAATATTTACTTAACCGGTGAGGAATATTTTAATGAAAGGCTGTACGAGGAGGAGGGGGGACTCGTAGCTCAGGCACATGGATGTGTGCTTATTCAGTGTCAGAGAAGTTTAAACCTTCCTGAAATACAGTCAGGAGAATTAGCCGAATCGCAGAGATGTCCATTTTTAGCGGTCAACATTTAACAAACGATGGAATTCGAGTCTACTTTGTGTCTTCATTTTCAACGTGTTTAAGCCCTTTCGCCATCGATTATGGCTTCTGCTGTCAGTCATAAACACATCAGATCACTGTTATTCTCCTGACAGAGTGTATTCAGAGGACTCTATTGACGTCACACTTCATGCCTCCCACAAAATGCCCTTTTGTGTTAATATATATGCATTTAAGGTTCAATAAGAGTTCTTGTTTCTGCACAGAAACTACAACCCAAAATTATTTAATATCATCAACTGCTGTATAGTTTAAGGGCAGCTTCAACTACATAAGTGCTTATATTGATTGTTGCTGAATGAATGAATGCTTGTGGGGAACAGTTAGCATGATGCAAATAACATGATGCCTAACTGGTTCTACACCTATCATTCACCGTTAGCCACTTTAGCATTTTGGGGTGAAAGGTGCAAATAATATGATGCTAAGTGTCTCTCCAATAGCTCTATTGCATTGTAGCCACTTTAGCATTCGGGCGTGAGGTGCAATTATTATGATGCAAATAATGAAATATTGTGATGCAAACCGGTTCTTCACTAGTCATTATTTATTGTCAGCCACTTTAGCATTTAGGAGTGAACTGTGTCTTTAAGCTCAACAAGCATTCTGTTCAAGGTCAGCAAGGTAGACAAGGTCGTTTGGGATGACCACACCACGACATGCATGCATATAAAAGGATCGCTCTCCCTGAGTGCTCTGTACGCGTTTCAGATGTCCACGGGGGAGTCTGAAACTCGAAGCTTGGCACAGATGTCTTACTGGAACAGACTACATTAGGGAAAAGGCAGAAATATGGCCATCCAGCCCAGACTGGCGAAAACACCAGAGGGCCACCGGTGGCAGAGTGGAGCAGGAGGGAGAGGTTGGAAGTTTGCAGTCGGACTGCATTAAGCTCAGCCTGAATAAGCCTGTCAGGAAAATGTGGGCCACTGGAAAACGCAGCAACCAGGCTGGGACCTCGGTTACACCACAGAGACTGCATATTTCCCATGCCCTGATATCACTAACCCCAGCAGTGCATGCAGACACACAGACACAAGAAAGGCCCAGTGGGACGGATCTGTGTCAACAGAAGCTGGAATGAAGAGGAGAGGCCGTAATTTGATGTATTCTGGGATCGATACTAGAGGATGGACTGGGCGGGCATCTGTTCTCTGGAAAGACTGTAAGTTTACAGCAGTTCAGTTTCAGTATATATTAAAATAAAACAAGAAAATAGTATACATTTTTTTTAAATAGGGTATTCTGTAATGCTATAACAGCTAATATATCATAGTTGTTGGAACAAAACCTCATATCTCCATTTTTTTCATCTTTTAGTTTTTGACATAATTTGAAAATGCTGGTTGCCCTATACATTGTGTATGAATTTCATGATAAATGGACCAAAGGAAACAATCCAAAATTACTTGGATTACTTGATTACTGGTTCCATTGACTTACACTAATTTGGAGATACAAGGTAAATATATATATACGTACAACACCTGCTCTATTTTCTCAACACCTACTTATTATAATATTGTTATTTTCTGCATGTTGCTGTAATGTTCTAGCTAAATAAATACACCAATAATGAAAAATAAGGAGAAAAAACAACTTCTCCTTTTAGATTATACTGAATATAACTAAATAAAACAACAATCAATTTTGGGGTTAATCCCTTAAAATCCCAGGCTAATAATTCAGTAATTATAAGGACTTCAATGCAAACTGGCTGAGCTATTCTTTGGATATAGTAGTGCGTAATGAAACTTTGCCCCCCCCCGGTGGACCCTGTAAGGGTTTAACCGGAATATTAAATTTTAATTGAGAACTGTAATAACTGATATCTGACAACTCTTTCCAACGTACTTCTTCTGACAGCCATCCCGTGACCCCCAAAGTTATCTTGCATATTTGTTTTCAAAAGTGGAGCAGACATATCCCCCCTGTCCACCCTCTGAATTTGCACCAGAGCTACCTGGCAATGCTAGAACCACACTAAAAATATCATCTTAGACACAAGGTGGGTCCTTAGAGGCCTTCAGCCACTCCCACCTGGCAATTAGGGAAGGAGGATCTCAGGATGAAAGGGAAAAGGGGTGAGGGGGCCGAGCGCCAAAATCACACCAGTGTCCAAATACCAAATATCAAGGGTACCAATTAGGCCTCCGAGAGCCACGGGCCAGAGTGAAAGCTGAAATCACAGAGAGAAGTGCTGGGTAGCGAGAGGGATGAGGAGGTTGCTGTGAAAAGGTGAAAATGAAGTGCTGTGTTGCCTGGATACAAAGAGGGAAAGGTCAGCGATTGTTTCTGCTTCTCATACCTTTTGAACAGGTGATTGGAAAAGAAATGACTGCAGTCGAAGGTCACGTAACGGTAGCTGACCTCAGTGTTAATAGAAACAAAGAGACAAAGTGACTACAGAGCTCAGTCCACAGGTTTACACAGAGGGGTCAGGGGTGTCAGTGATGGTCATTCTTCAGAGACGGTTTGATGAACACACAAGCCTGAGAATCACTCACACAAACGGACACGTTCACCCGAACACTCTAAAAATACATGTAAACAGTTACAGTCTCGCGCATTTGCTGATACTGATTCCCTGTGAGGGCGCGACACCGTACTGGGGAGCCTCACTGACAGCCCTGCGCTCCGCTGGACTACAGTCCACCTCTTCAAAATAAACAGGACATTTGTGGACAGAAGAGCCGCTTAAACTCCCTCTCTCTCCCTCTCAGGTGAATGCTGACCGTTACTCACCGAGCCCAGGTACAAACGTGTTGAGGAACAGGCAGATCACAGCTACAGGGAAAGGCATGTACGGGATCGCTGCCCGTAAAGGTCCCTTCTTCTCTCGAACTTGGACAACAACTCCGCTGGTGGAGGAGGAAACTCCTTTCTCGTTCATCTCCGTGTCCTTCTGGTCCATTTCTGGATAAAATCTATGAGAGAATTTCCTCGAAATCCTCTGACTAAAGTGATTGGTTCACTCGCCGTTCGCGCGCAGCTCTGTAATCTCTCTAAACACTGAAGCGAGGGAAGGAAATGTGCAGCTACACCGTCGCTACCAGACACTGTGTCTTTACGCACGTTGTTCTTTTCGCACCCGTTTTCCGGAAAGCCCCGCCTTCTGCGCAGGGATTGGCTGGTAGTATTCCGCCTCCTGATGATTGGCTCCTACTTTAATTTTTCTACACTGTTCATAACACAACATCAAAGGCCTGAAAGCTGGTCATACTTAATCTGTAGGGATTTTTGAGACACTTTAGGAAACACCTGTTTATGCAAATTTAAAATTAAAATAAAATAAGCAAGATGCCCCCCTGTTCCTAACACACAGTCCATTGTACCTGCGCCCACCTGTAATGTGTTATTTACAGTTTAAATTATAACTGTGGACACTTTCACAGAAGAAGTGTTGGATTAAATCAATAAGCCGATACTGTACACTCCTATGAAGAGCGGTGTGCAGTAGACTGTAGCGTGGAGGACACGACACCCTCCACAGACACAGTTTAACAACCCAATACATTAACACACACAACAACAACAGCAACTACAACGAACTTCCTTCTTCTACCGGAAACGTGGCGCCTAACGAGAGCTGCTTTGCATGGCCACACCCGCTAAAGCTCCCCAGGTAGCACGGTTAAAAGACTGCCGGGACTGCCGTTTGGGGTGGGCACAACAAATTTATGGGTAGGCCCAAACCTCACTCCCACAGACAAACCTTCACCATCTCTCACAGTACTTACCAGCTTTCAATCTTCACTCCTCTGAAGGTTTAAATGTTATCGCTTTTATTCTCACTCGACCAAACATGTAAAAGTAGTCAGCTGTGTTACCCTCTTAAATATCACAGAGGATGCAAATGGTTTGTATTTCTTGTGCCGCGTGTGTTTGTGTTGCAATTTTCAGGTCATTTTGTGGTTAGATCCACCGTGCCAATGCTGTGGATGTTAAGCCACTATTCACAACCACAGCTGTGCTTTTGATGATTAGCATTTCTATGGTTGTCTAATCTGTTAATGGGGTCTGAATAGCTTATTAAGTGGTTCAATGACTGCTGCGTTTTTCATGAATGCTTAGGCCCACTCACGCTGGATACAAATCTCATTTCTTCTGTGACGTCCGAATCGGTTAAACAAGGTGCATATAAAAAAGCCTTTCTTAAAGATTGTGTATGTGTGTCTTTACCTGTAGGTATCAGCCCTGACTCCTGTCTTAGCTGAAGCAGGGTTATTGGACTCCAGTGTATTTGCACTAGCTATAATAGACAATAAAGCACTTCTGTAAATCGCTGTGGATGAGACTGTATGCTAAACGCCATAAATGTACATGCAAATGTACAGCAGCACTGTGTTGGAATTACAACCTCATTTCCAAAAAAAGTTGGGACGCTGTGCAAAATGTAAATAAAAACAAAATGCAATGATTTGCAAATCATTTAAACCCTATATTTAATTGAAAATAGTACAAAGACAACAAATCAAATGTTGAAACTGAGAAATTTTATTGTTTTTTCAAAAATATATGCCCCTTTTCAAATTGATGCCAACAACACATTCCAAAATAGTTGGGACGGGGGCCTGTTTACCACTGTGTTTCATCACCTCTTCTTTTAACAACACTCTGTAAGTGTTTGGGAACTGAGGAGACACTGCTGTAGTTCTGAAAGTGAAATGTTTTTCTATTTTTGTTTGATACAGGATTTCAGCTGCTCATCAGCTTTATAACCCACCAAATGTTTCAGCGGTGACAGGTCTGGACTGCAGGCAGGTCAGTTTAGCATCCGGACTCTTTTAATATGGAGCAATGCTGCTGTAATACATGCAGAATGTGGTTTGACATCGTCTTGCTGAAATAATCAAGGCCTTCCCTGTAAAAGACGTCGTCTGGATGGCAGCATATGTTGCCAAAACATGTATATTTCGTTCAGCATTAATGGTGCCTTCACAGATGTGCACGTCACCCATGCCATGTGCACTAATGCCGCCCTGCACCATCATAAATACTGGCTTTTGAATTGTGCACTGATAACAAGCTGAGTGGTCTTTATCTCGGAGGACACAGTGTCCATGATTTCCAAAAAGAATTTCAGTGCTGCCTGAGGGCCCAAAGATCACAGCCAGCAAATACTGGTTTTTGGCCTCGTCCCTTACATACAGAGATTTCTCCAGATTCTCTGAATCTTTTAATGATATTATGTACCGTAGATGATGAAAAGCAGAAGTTCTTTGCTATTTTTTGTTGAAAAATATTATTCTTGAATTGTTGCACTATTTGATCATGCAGTCTTTCAGAGAGTGGTGAACCCCTCCTCATCTTTACTTCTTAAAGACTCTCCGGGATGTTTTTTATACCCAATGATGTTACTAACCTGTTGCCAGTCAACCACCAGGTTTTTTTTTTCAGCATTACACAACTTTAGCAGCCTTCTGTTGCCTTGTCCCAACTTTTTTGGGCATATATCTTTCAAAAAACAATACAATTTATCAGTTTCAACATTTGATTTGTTGTCTTTGTACTATTTTCAATGAAATATAGGGTTTAATGATTTGCACATCATTGCATTTTGTTTTTATTTACATTTTGCACAGCATCCCAGCTTTTTTGGAAATGGGGTTGTAGTTGTTTTAACTGAGCGTTGGAATTATTCATCAAAAATGTAAATAACATGACTATACACCATGATGAAATAGCACAATCAATAGAAAAAGTGAAGGTGTAGCTGTAGCTTCTGTATGTGTGTTGGTTATGAGCCTATTGGTTGTTGATGCTTTGATTGAGCAATAAAGGCACACAAACGGTCCTGCGGTCCCAGACCACCAACAGCTACATTCTCCTCTCATTAAATTAATGCTTTTCAGCATTAACAGAAATGTGACCCCATAAATTAGAAGATACAATCTCCGCCCAACCATAATCACATTACCACTCACTGAAGGCCCTGAGTGGCTTACAGTATAATGGAGCACAACAGAGATACACAACATGTCCAAAAGTTTGTGGACAACTGTTTATTCAGCGTTCTTCTGAAATCAGTGGCATTAATAGAGAGTTTGTCCCTCTTTGCTGCAGTAACAGCCTCTACTTTTCTGAGAAGGCTTTACACTAGACATTGGAACATTACTGTGAGGATTTGATTGCATTCAGCCACAAGAGCATTGGTGGGGTCAGCTACTGGTGTTGGATAATTAGTCTGAGATCATGAATGCTGCTCTAACTCATCCCGAAGGTATTAGATGGAGCTCCATCACTCCAGAGAACTCGGTTCCTCTGCTCCACAGCCCAGTGCTGGGGGGTGTATACCCCTCTAGCTGACACTTGGCATTGAGCATGGTGACCTTAAGGTCATGTGCAGCTGCTTTAGATTATATAAGCTGTGTGTGCAACTTATATATTGTGGAAAACTGAATTTTCCTTGCTTTTTAAAATGAAATAGATTAATGTACTACACTAACAGGCCTAAAATTTCAAAACATACTGTTCGCTCTCCGGTCCATTTATGAAAGGTATGCTGCAAAAACAGCCTGTTTTGAATTCATGGTTTTTGTGATGTCACAAAAACCAACACATTTGCATTTACACACCTATTTAGCCTACATCAATTAAGCTCCTCCCTTTCACATGGAAGTTATAAGCAGTGTTTCAGCCTGGATTGCCTTTTTATATGAAGCATAACACAGGGTAGCCAATCAGAACAGAGGTCATTTACAAATATCAGTCTTAAAGAGACAGTAACAAAAACAGCCTGTTTGATTCTATGGGATAGAAGTTTGATAAAGGTAATGTAAAACTGAATTATGATTGTATTTCACAAACCCACACAAACAATGAAAGTGTGGAGATATTATTCTTCATTATTCTATATTATCCTTCTTATATTATTCTATTATTTGAAATATTATTCTTCGGACATATTTAGCATACTTTGGAACCAAACATGTCTTGCCTGATAAAGGATAAGGGGACAACTGTGTCAATTATATATTTTTGGTAAACCACTAATTTAAAGTAGATGAATTCATTAATTTGAAGGGATGTATGGATACTTCTATACATACAATGCACTTTCTATTAAGACATCTAGCCACAAACAGAAGCCTATTTTAATTTTGTGGTGCACTGTTTTGCACATCTCAGAGAGATGTGGTCAGGTCTCTGCCCCATTTTCACTTCTGTTAAATAATAATAATAATAATAATAATAATAATAATAATAATAATAATAATAATAATAATAATAATAATAATAATAATAATAATAATAATAAGGGCGGCACGGTGGCGCAGTGGGTAGCGCTGTCGCCTCACAGCAAGAAGGGCCAGGGTTCGATTCCCGGCGGGTTGACCAGGGTCATTTCTGTGTGGAGTTCGCCTGTTCTCCCCGTGTCTGCGTGGGTTTCCTTCGGGTACTCCGGTTTCCTCCCACAGTCCAAAAACAAGCAGTCAGGCCAATTGGACATGCTAAATTGCCCCTAGGTGTGACTGTGTATGTCTGTCTGTCTGCCCTGCGATGGACTGGCGACCCGTCCAGGGTGTATCCTGCCTTCCGCCCAATGACGGCTGGGATAGGCTCCAGCACCCCACCGCGACCCAGAAGGATAAGCGGTTTAGATGATGTATGTATGTATGTATAATAATAATACGTTCAATTTATGTTGTGCCTTTCACAAACCCTAGGACGCTTTACATAGTATAAAAAAAAGTCATTAACCCTGTGATTACATGTTCAAGTGGGCCTAGAACTCTTTAAAAGTGCAGCTTTTTAAGACTGCCTGCTATTTATTAAGAAAAGACAAATGTAAATGTTTGGTGGGTTCATTTTTTCTGTCTGATATTTTGAAGTGGTCATAACATCATGGTGGTGTTGGTACAGAGAAGTGGTAATAAGAGCAGTAATGCAACTAGGATCTTAAGGGCCCTGGTGCAACAAAAAAGCCCTATTGATCTTTCAAGATTTGAGATATAAATAAAGTTAGAGTTACATTACAGATAATGGTTATCATGGAGGAGATGCATCATGAATAAGAGGGAGATAAATAGGCATTATAATCGTGGCTTATTGCTTTATTAGGGCTGTTGATGGAAGCTAACTGGTATGTGATGTTGTTAAGAAATTGGATCATTCTGTGAGGCATCTGTGTACAACTGCGTTCATATCTACAGAACTGTGATAAAACAGAGACCACCCTCAGGGGGACAACAGTAGAGAACATTCACTTAACAGAAAATTAACCAGAAGCCTCAACAACTAAACATAGCATATTTTCAGGATTTAGTGTGTCCACTCATTGCCTTTATTACAGCCTCCATTCTTTTCACACGTTCAATGATGTTGAGGTCTGGACTCAGTGGTCAGTCCATTGTTCTGAAAACACCAGCAGATTATTTGTTTGATTTACAAATATTTACTTTTTTGTCTGTTTCCATTTAACAGCTTCTTGAACAGCTACACATCCTTTCAGAGCCACAGCGCTGAGTCGTCTTCTCACAGTGGAAGGATGGACAGAAACACCTGTGGATGTTTTCAGATCTGATCAGCTTGATTTTCTCCTCTCTCTCAGAGATGAAAGCTTTAAGTGCTGTTTATCTGATGGGGGCAGTT